TAACTATTCCTCATTGCGGAATAGTAGACCTCAACACTGAGAAGATCTTATTCGTATCTCAGCCAGGTCCATCAGTTAACAGAGTTATCATAGATAGACCTGCCAGCTCACAAGGTTGCCGTAACTTCCTTGATCATTGCATCCACTTGTTCACCTTCACCAGAAATGAGGGCACTCTCTTTAGCTTTATGAAAACAGTTTGACATACCTTTATGTGTCTGAAAGTCTAAAAGAGGTAAAGGAAAAGCTAATGGAACTGGTCTGCTGACTCCATCACAAAGTTCAAGGCAGAAGTTGGCGAAACTATTGGAAAAGGCCAGAGAAAGAAGGTCCGGAAGAGGGATGACGACGAGAAATAATGCGACGTTGCACCCAGTCATTCGAAGTCACGTGATTTCGCGTAAAAAATTTTTTCTGATAACAAATTGTTTTTTGGGTGCAACGAGTGTTGGGATACTGGACTGGATGACTCCTCCCAAACCAATGGTGTTTAACTTTGTGGGATAGTGAGGATCCTTCCTAAAAATCATTAAAGTCTTTTTTAATATATTTGAAAAATATATATATATTAATAATATCAAGAAAATTGATGATAAATTTTTCATGAAATTATACCTTCTTTATTATACTAACAAGTGTACTAAAATAACAATAGAAAGTCTCGATTAATTTGACCAAATTTTTTTTATCGTGTCATCACACCTTGGTACGTATATTAGAGAGCTCTTTGCTGTAGGTCACGTAACTTTTAAGTTCGTGCCTCTAGGTATTTCTAAAATTAATATATGTACTCGTTACTTAAAATATATATATATATTTTTTCTTAGACAAACGGTGAAAAGGAAAGTTATAAAAATCGACTATGGGCTAGAGGAAGGGGAAGAGACTAGTGGAAAAAGGTGTGAGAGAGAAGAGAAAGAAAGTAAGGATAGAGGGTTTTTATATTTACATCATAAAAATTTTTCCATAAAAGATGACTCATAATTATATTTGATTGTTACGCGTCGTGTATAATTATAATAGGAAATTGTAACTGATCAAAATCACAATTTGAGGTTCCGATTTCCGCAGTTTTAGATATATTAGTATTTATAGTATTTGTTTAACAATTAATATTTGGTATACATTGTACTAATTGTAGTATAAACAAAGCTTGTATAAAACACAATAAAGGTGGCTGATTTCGGGTTGTCAAGATCGTCCAAACAATTAGGAATAATTCCTTACGTCGATCCAAAAATTTTTAGTAAACGAAAAAATAATAAAAATTCAACACAATTATTCTCATATAATGAAAAGAATGACATATATAGTATTGGTGTATTGCTATGGGAGATATCTAGCGGGAAATCTCCCTTTTCTACCGAAGAATATGATATTGATTTGACTATAGAAATTTCGCAAGGTCTTAGAGAAGAACCTATTCTTAATACATCTGAAAATTATATAAGACTTTATAAAGGTAAATAATGTTTAAACTTTTTTTTTTAATATATTGTTAAATTATATATACTTTTTTTAGGTTGTTGGGATGGTGAGCCAGATAATCGACCAACGTTATTACCTCGCCAAATCACGTGATTGATTATTTATATCTGTCTAAAATTATTCAAAATTTTGATAGAATAAATACTTCGTGATATCCGGTTTTGCCTAGGATTCGTTGAATAATAGGCTGGGCGATTCCTCTCGTATTCCTGGGGGATTGGACGAACTCGCATTAGTTTAGTTTTGTTTCGTCATCTGTGTATTTCGTTCTAATAAAATAAATAGAATGAATATTGTCACTATAACAACAAATGAACAAATAATTAATGAAAGCATTTTATCTAAAAGTATAATAATTAATGAAGGAAAAGATGCACACAAATATATTTTTGATTATTTTAATAGTCATAATATAAAATCTCATGAAATTTATAATTGGTTGTTAAATAATCAAAATGATTTGGATTCGATTTTCTTACTTGGATATTTTAATTATATAGGAATTGAATTCAGTGAAATCTTAGTCAAGCATTTGATATATTTATTAAAGCATCAGATCAAGATCATACATTGTCTCAATTTTATGTATGAATTTGGATATGGAACTAAAAAAAATGAAAAGCTAGCTTTTGAATTTTTTGAAAAGCGGATAACAAGAATTATTCATCAGGAATGAATTATCTTGGTTATTTTTGCGAAGATGGCATATGGATTAAAAAAGACGTAAAAAGGGCTGTATCTTTATATGAAAAAGCAGCAGATTTAGGAAATATTTTATCCCAACATATCTCGCTATAATGTATATGAATGGAATATGGGGTCGATAAAGATGATAACAAGACATTTAAATTATCTAAACAATCAACTGAAGGAGAATATATCGGTGGAATAAGGGAATTAGGATATTGTTATAGTTACGGAACTGGAACTAGTGTTAATAAACAGGAATCATTTAAATTATATCAGCAAGCAGCAGATTTAGGAGATATGTATACTTGGTGATATATATGAAATAAGGGATAGAATTGAGAAAGATATTAATAGAGCAATTTATTGTTACAAATGTAATTCATGTAATATAAGAGTTAATTGTATTTTATAATATTTTTAGAAACAATTGAATGAAATGTGATTTTAAATATTAATTTATTACGAAGTTTTTATATCATGGTGGATTTATAAATATCGAAGCCAAAATTCATACATCTAATTTTGCATCATATATGAAAAAAGCTTATAATTCGTGATTCACGAGTTGCAAAGGATCTGCAGAAAATGGGAATCTGGCATGGCGTCAAATACAAATAAAAAATTATGTGAGAAATTTATTTTAAAAAACAAAACTATTTGAAACTTTGGAAATTATTTATTAAAATATGTTAGTATTGAATGTGGGTTACTTAAGGAATGAAAATCGGGTATCAGAAAAAGATTACTAATGATCGATATTAATTTGTACCGAAATCATATATGAATTTTTTGCAGTTGACTCACGGATCACAATGGGGTGGGTGCGTTCACAAATTCAATTTGATTGGATTTGGATTGGATCGCCAATCCGATGGATTGGACCAAAAATCTAATCCGTGTTCACATATTAAAGGAGTAGATTTTTGATTTTGTATCACATTTTGATACTACCATCTTACGCGTTTTAGTAAACGAAACTCAAAAGAAAAAGAATAAAAAAAATTTATATCATAGGTAGGGTTGGTAAAATAACCGTTAGTTATGAATTTGGTTAATTAACCGGTTAATTAACGGTTAGTTAACGGTTAATTAACCCATAAATAACCTGTATATATAATTTTAAGGAAGTTAAAATAAATTTATAATTTATTAAATATTATAAAATTTTAATATATTTTATTTATTCTTCATCATCTAAATTAATAACATTTGCTTCAAATCCAAATATACTATCATTATCAGAACTATTATTATTATCATCTTCTTTATTTTCATTATCAGAACTATTATTACTATCTTCTTCATTTTCATTAAAATTACTACCCATTTAGCTGTATGAGATTCTTCACCAGAATAAATAGCATCAAAGAATAATGGTTTTGGAGTACAAATAACAAAATTTTGAACTGATTCTCGATTAATATTAGACCAACCATCTGAAACCATTGTAAGAGATTTAGCTTGTAAAATTTGTTCATTACATTCAGCTTTAACTTCATCAAAAACATCATCAAGTAATTCATCAGCAAGTTTTCTTCGATTAGGTAATTTGAATGCTGGACGTAATTGTTGAAAAAACTGAATAACATAATTATTTTCAAGAAAAGAAAAAGGAACTCCAGCAGCAAATAATGCTTGAGCTAGTAAAATTTCAAGAGTATCTTGTTCTTCTTCACTCATACGATCAACAAAATTCTCAATTGTTGTATTTTTTAAATGCTTTTTTGATGTTTTTACTGTAGGAATAAAAGTAGAAGTAGTAGCATCAGAAGTTTCTAATAGTTCAGGAATTTGTTGTTTCTTTGTTTTTGCACTTTCTGGAGCTCTAGGACAACTATCATTAAGATGAACTTGCATTCTTTTAGCTGTACCTTGTTCAAAAACTTTAGAACAATAATTACAACGTACAGAAGGATGTGTTTTTTTCTTAGTCCTACTACTTTCTTCATTACTTTCTGCTTCAGTAATTATTGTCCAATGTTTCCAAACAGTTCCCTTTTTTTTTACCATGATAATGAACAATAAATTTGCAAAAAAAAAGTGTTTTTTTAAAAAAAATTTATCTTAAAAAAAAGATCATGCAATATGTAGATCANCAAACAGTTCCCTTTTTTTTTACCATGATAATGAACAATAAATTTGCAAAAAAAAAGTGTTTTTTTAAAAAAAAATTATCTTAAAAAAAAGATCATGCAATATGTAGATCATAGATTTAATCAATATTTATATTAATTAATATTTAATTGTGTAACAAAATAATGGATTATCATTTAATCACATGATTTAAATTCTGCATTTTGATTGGCTAATTATAAATAACGGTTAATTAACCATTTTAAATCAATCATAACTAACAAAATTAACGGTTAATTAACCATGGTTAATTAACCGTGGTTAATTAACCCCCATCCCTAAATTCATAGGGGTCAATAAGGGGTAACATATAGTGGTAGGTAGGACGGGTAGTAGTATGGTATATTCAATCGTGGGGTATACCCTGGATTGGAAATTTAATAGTAAAATCCAATCCGGTGGATTGGCACAATCTAATTCAAATAATTTTATAATTTGTGAATATAGATCGGATTGAGCCGTCGCCTCAATCCGATCTAATTGAACCCAATTTCTCTGTGGCGCAGCAAAGTGATTGGCTGATCATTTTTTCAATTGTTGAAAATATTTTTTTTTTATTTTTTATTTCGCTAATTAGTCCGGAGCGAAGCGAAGGACTAAATACTATTCGTGTCAGTTTCACAAATGTCCCGTTGCCCGCCCGCTCACTGTGTGAGTCGATGGCCATTCCATTCGTAATAAATTGAATTTTATAATAACGAAACATCCTTTTTTTGATATTTCAATTAAATTTACCGTGTTTAATTAAGTTTAATTAAGATTTTGCTTTTCGCTCCGGACTCCCAACGGTTACCGTTCCCTAGTTGTAATACTTTTTTATGGGTCTACCTTAGTAATTATTTCCTTCTATTTTCTTTTTTTTATTTGCTATCTTAGCGCCAATCCGTGGATTTATCCGGTTTGAAACCATCCGGATTGGATCCGGATGAAGATACGAATGATTCATCATCTGCTATTTCTGTATATAAATCCGGATCCATCCGTTTGATTAGTACTATTTTATAGTAACGGACTCATTCGGATGGTTATCCTGATCATATTTACGAATCAGTCATCCGGATTTTTATATTGAAATTCATTCCGAATCATCCATTTATTTACGAACCGGATTAAACGGATGACGAATCCATCCGGATCGTACACTACAGTTAGCTCTATATTAACTATCTATTCTTTTTACAACATTATGTGTGGCTTTGAACCTTTATATGTTTGAATCTTTATATGTCGTAACCTCTAACTCGTTTCTTTTTGTGCATTAATAATATCATAAAATGTCAAAACTTTCGAATTTGAGGCTCTTTTCTTCTGGTGATATATTCTAAACGTCATTATTACCAGAATACCGACTAACATTATTTGAATCATTTTGAATCTGAATTAAGCTTCCAATAAGGATATTACAATTTCGTTGAAATTCATTATAAAATAATCTTTTTTCTTCACTATCAATCATTTGCACCAAATGTTTTATAATTGGATAGTGGCAAGTAAAAAAAAAAAAGTTATTTTGATTTTTTTTTAATTTAGTAACAAGTATTGCTAACTATTTGTTTCTTTTCTTTTCTTTAGGCGATTTTTCAAATTGATGGTAAATTATGTTTACCTCTTATTATTTCTTTCAAGGGACAAGTGGGAAAGTTTTTATTATTATTTGCAAATGTTTTAGTCATCTAGCTCTAGCTGTAATAGAATGTAATCTTTAACGACATTTTACATAAATATATAAAATATTTTCTATAATAAATTAATAATAAATGAACTAGTAAATAAATATGAAGTGAATAAATATTAAATAAATAAATTATATCCCAAGGATTCCTTAATGATAAATTTAGAATCCTTAAGGATTCTATAAAAAAATTTTAATAGGGAATCCTCGTGGGGAGAGTCTTCATTAATATGAAATTTTTGGAATCCATGCCCCAAAAAATTTACTGATGTATCAATCAATAATATGAATTTATTTGATTTAATTAGGTAAATGTGATCATAATATGAACTTAATTCTGATTGGTTAATCTTAAAGCGACCATAGAAGGCTCCTTATGAAACTAATATTAGCTAATATATTTCACTGCCCTAAAGATAAGTAAGAGATTATTAGTTGAAAAGGATTTAATCACAGTAGTTCTTGAGATGGTATCATTAAATGAGTGAATACAAATAATAGCCCTGTTCAATTCCGGTCGGTCGCATTTTTCGGTCAGATTTAAGTTATTTTTGATTGGGCTGATCAGTTTGTACAACGCAACCATTTTCTGAACTTTTAGCCCAATTTTTTTTTGGGTTTTTGGTCGAACGCCAAAAATAACCAACCAAAATTAGATAATTTCTGTTTACGTGACATTTAAGAAAAAAATATATATCAATATAAGGAGTTCGAACTAAATTTCAATCTAAAGCAGTTCAATTTGCAAAAAATTTTATTGGATAATTTTTGTACAACAAAATCCGACCGAAAAATGCAACCGACCGGAAATGAACAGGGCTAATATGTATAGATGATATAAATACACTTACTGAATAAACACATATTCAATAAATAATTCAACAATTATAATAGATATATAAATACCGCAAAATAAACCCAAATCAGTCACTTGGTATAATTGGTTATAAAATTGATTTTCGCTTCTCTTATTTTAACAATAATTGCAATCGTACAAAGTGCTACTTTAAGAGATGAAACAAATATCAGTACCCAACCTGTTAGACGTGAGGCTAACCAAATTCAACACTCAGATTCTCAAAATATTGCGACATGTCTAGGCCGAAGTTTAGGTAGTCATAAACGTGAGGCATCTCCGATCGAGGAGCAGGCGGTCAAAAACGTGAGTCATTCCCCCTATCGAGGAGCAGACGGCCAAATACGTTAGGCATCCCTGTATCGAAGATCAGGACTCAGGAGGCCAAAAACGTGAGGTGCCTAGTTGAAAACATTTAGTGGAAATATAATATTTACCTTTGGAATAATTTGAATATATATGCAAAAGAAATAATAAATCAAGTGACGATAATATATAAGAATAAAAGATATGTTATTTCAAATATTATTAATATTATTATTATTTAGTAGAATTACTTTATAATTATTTTTGTTACACGTAAATGATAAATTTTTTACTTGTCTGTAAATCATGAACATTGACGGTATCAATTATTAATAAAAAATGTTTTAATATTAAAGCAATTAATAAGTTAAAATAAACCATCATAATAAACGTCAAAAAGATGAAACTGAACTAATGTTAAGACATGACTTCAACTTCACAAGGTAATTCCCAAGTGAGATGATCATACTATTTATAGATATTTTTTTACTGCGTTTCTGAAATATTCAATGCAAATTAATCACGTTTTCAAATGTAAAACGGTCTATTACATAATCAACCTTTCATAGGTTTACTAACAGCAAATTGGTTAATAATCCATTTCTCTCATAATTCCTTAATTTCTACTGTGAAATTCTCGGCCAGAATTAAATGCAACATTTTTTAATTTTTGATGAAATTTTAAATCACGAATCTGCCGACCAAAAAGCATCTTTCCTTGTTAAATGTTATCGGTTTTACTAGTAAAATTTCATTTTCAAGATTATTATGTGGGATTTTACGCAACCGACGTTTAAAGAAAATAGCCAACATTTGTAATTTATCAGATATTAGTTATTTGTTCAATGCTCAACCACATTTTGAATTCAATCAGACGTTTTCTAATACTTTTGACTTCATCATTAGTGACTTGTGTCCAGAATAAATGTAATATCTTTTTAATTCCTTCACCGGCAATTTCAAACTTTTATAATTGAGCTATTTCAAAGAATTCAATTACCTCGATCACTACCGAATTTGTGGTAAAAGCAAGAAGTTGGCAAATTGCTGGTATTGCTGTACGAATTTAATGAATGAATTGAACAGCGTCCGTTTTAAAACGTTTTATCACTTTAATTCTAAAATTGGGACAAGATCAGAGACATCAGAAATTTAGGAATCGATTAAGTAAAGCTACTCTAAACTACACATTCTCATAATACTTTTATAAGATCACGTGTTTAAATTATGCTTCGACCACGTGATTGTCAGAACTCAGAATTACGTTAACTATCAGTTATTTTAACTTCGTGTTTTACGTTGTTATAGAGTTGTTTACATCCGAACAATATAATTATTTTAATTACAATATATGAGTAATAAATTATTTATTTTTGCTTTGCTTGTAATTATACTACATTTCAAGATATGCCATTTGATTTATGCAATTTTGAGATCTGATGTTGCACGAGTTATTATTGAATCAATACGCTATACAAATGTTAGAAAATTTATAACTTTTGTGAATTATTAAGTTTTGAAAAGTTTTCTAAGTTGATTCGGTTAATTAATACGCAAGCCCCTTGCAAAAGTACAAAACTCGAATATTACAAATCTAGACATTCGAACCAACAAATAATAATGATAATAAAAATAAAAAATAAAATAAAATAAAATAGATAAATAAATAAATAATAAATAAATTAACCAATATTAATAATTCTACCTTTACTATTGCTAAATTTTCTCGTACGCTTTTAATCTTACGAACTCATTGATTACCATAATACAATTTTATGCTATTTCACGAATTTATTATTATATACTATCTATAGAATGAATTGAATGAACCGATATATGTTAATCAAGTTTATAGGTCATATAGATTACAGGTCAGCGTTGAAGATTTTAAAACCTATGTAATGGATGGTAGATTCGTAGGCTTTTATTTGGAAGTTCATTGGAACTATTACTATAGAAAAATGAATTTAATGAAATTATAGTACAACAGAAAATTTGGTGGCAAGTTGATACTTATAAAGCTGATGCGTGTAAAGCATTGGAATTTATCAATATGCGTAAGAGCTTTTCATACATAAATCATATAATAGGGAGATTTATCAAATACAAGCCTGATGACTTTAGATTGCTAGATTTTCAACATAATGTTATTAAAAACTTGATTCTTGGTGATTGTGATCATTTGACAAAATATATATTATTTGGAAACGATAATGAAAATCGTAATAATTTACATATACCGAGGGATACATTCTGGAAAAGAAGAAAATGGATCCCAAAGATTATGAAATATGGAATTAGCAATCTATCATTGCAAAAGTAAATTTGAATTAGCTATAAGCATTATCATTGGGTGGCCCATTGGGCAATTAATTGATTGACTGATTGACTTTTTTCTATAATACAATGATTCTATTATTGCTTATCTTTATAATATTATTCTAAACATACGAGTTGGATGAGTACTATATCTAATATCTAAAGCATTGCCTTTATTATTTGAATTTAATTACGGTTCTTTTTTTTTCCAATTCAAAACGATTGTGACGATATTTACAATTTTAATCTTATAACATAGATGATTATGCTAGAAAGATATTTCGTAAAGAATGCTTTGGAGATTCGAATGTTATGATTCCAATAAAATATCGTGTGAGACGTAACGAATATAGAGGGGTTAGAATGGACAAACTGCAATTTTTCGAAGAGATTAAATGGAGCAATGAAATAAATGGAATAATCATTATAAAAATATTATTTTCATTATTTGACTCTTTTATACCAAAATCTTAGGTTTTGATAATAAGTCGCCTTTAACGTTAAAGGTTGTTCCTCTTTGTTTTAAACATTGTTTTGTTATTATTTATCAAGATAGTACAAAATTAGATGGAATGAGAAGTACAAATTAAGCCCTTTTCGAGGCTGATGCAATATGAGAATAATGATGAAATGTATGATAATCCAGCAACCGAAGCGATCGTTGATTTTCGTTGAAGGCAAGCGAGATTTTTCTTTTTTTTCCTTTCTCTTCGATTTCTTTTTTTTTTGCTTTTTGTTTCATATTTGTTAGTTGGGAATATTTGAGCCATGAAGTTATTAATGAGAAATTTCGAAATTTTTTAGTTGCATTAATCTTCATATTCTATTATTTAGCAGCTTATTTACTCGTTACTGAATTTATGCAATTGTATTATCACGGGTCTAGAAAATATTTTAGTGATATATTTAATAGTTTTGTTTTCCATGATTGTAATGTCAATAATTCTTAGAGATTTTCGTTTTTCTGATGGCTTTAGAAGTGTTGAAGCAATTGATTCTAGATTAATTGCTATGATAGCTTTTTCAGTCTTGTTTTTTTTTGGATTGAATTGGTTAGTCTTTAGTTTTACGATTCTGCATTCAAGTAACAAATATAATCTAATATATTTGTATTGCCGCTTAATACCAAGTACTGTATATATAAATTAAATTTCTTTCGGAAATGAGGACAAATTATTAATAGCCATTTATATTATAGAAATTATCAAAATCGTATTTTCCTTTATTTTATTTAACTTTGTCGTAATAATTGTATTTGTTGCACATACAATGTATTGCATTTAAAAGTTTTTAGAAATAGAAAGAAAATTTCGATAATTTAATCTGAGACGAAGAGCATTAAAACTAAAGGTTCAACATTTAGTGGAACTTCTACGAATTCCTTAAACGGTCAAGAACTTGACGTTGAAATGAAAGCTAATTTTGATCCTACAGATCGTAACGATAATCCATTTTTACTGCCAAGTATGATACCCAATGCTCTGTTGTTAATTCATATATTTAGGTGTCTTCATGTTCTAAAAATGTTAAAGTCCGATTTCTTCGAACTATATTGGTGAGTACCTCTGAAATTGCACTAATATTTTGAGCAAAATTGTACTTCTTAATACTTGGTAATCGATGTATTGCATTGACCAATTAATAAGATGGACGAAGCAATCAGATAAAGTAGCTTCATTTGCCTCTAAAAGATTTATACATTCTTTTATTGGCTTCCATATAGAACGAACTGATACATCGATATGAAAAAAAAGATTCATTAAAACAGCAACCTCATTGTTTGTAATAGAATTAGCGTGCTCGCTAAGAATCTGAAAATTCAAAATTTAGTAAAATATTTTTAATTTTATTATTAATAATAAACATTTTACTTACCCAATCAAATACTGGCCGAGCTCTTCATAAAGCATCCATTGTCATAAATAAAAACCCAACGAGTTTTCACCCAAGTTTGTAATCCACCTCCTTTGATTTTCATATTGGTAAAACCTTGTTTTAAAGAGCATTACTAGCATGTGATGTACTAAAATATCGATTAAAATTTTACCACATTCACTAATGAACATTTTAATAGGTTCAAATTTAACCAAATCAGATGTAATCTAATTGATTGCATGCGCTGCACAACGTATATTCCATATATGTGTCTTGCAACTCGGCAATTGGAAGCATTATCAATAACAATTGCGGCAAACTTAACGCTGCCAAGTTTTTCAATAATACTAGAAATTTCTTCCGTTAAAAATTCACTTGTATGTGAATCTGACGAATAATAATATAAACCAACTAAATTTTCCATTCGAATATCGGTTGTGATTATGTAATTATAATTGATTCCATTTTGGGAGTAGACAAACCATCCAACGCTATCAGAAATAGTATTTAAATAAAAATATCAGTATCATTTTTGAAAGAGATTATTATATCATTTAATTTTAAATCAACAAGTTGTGCATGTAATAATTAATTAATTTATATTTACCTAAAGCAAGATGATCGATCAGATTGCTCCAAATCATGATCAATAGCCAGACCCACCCGTTTCTTCTGTAATAAGACGGTCAGAAAGAGTAGTTTGTGATGGCGGAGAATAACCAGGATTTAGATCTTTAAATAGATCTAAAACAAATGGGGTTTCAATCACATTAAATGGAATACCAGCCATAACTCAAGCCTTTAAAACCTTTTTCAAGTCGGTCAACAACAAATTTGGGTAAAGACTGATCAGACTTATAATGATCAGTTATTTGCGTTTGGATTGAGTTAGGTGGTCGTGAAAAAGAAAGTGATTTGAGTATAAGTTGTTTGTCGGTTAGCTATATTTTCACGTCAGTATATCGATATCTCTTCAGGCATTGTATACATTCATTTGCCAAGTGCACTTCCATTTTTGTGGCTTTCCTCTTGACCATTTTGTTTTACAATAGAAACAAATAGATTCATAGTGTCCATTATTCTTTTGTGCACCTTTTTCATAATATTCCCAGATTTCTGAGAAAGGTTTTGTATTTTTTGGTTTGACAATTTTACTTTTTTGTTATTTTTTGGTGTTATTTTTTCTTCATCTGAAGACGCTATAAGTTCTTCGTTTTCATTAATAATTGGTCTTTTGCCCTCTCCTGAACTGATTTCTCCACGAATCATAAGTAAAGAGAATAAAAAAAAGTCGCGACAAATCGTGTTAGTTTAATATCGTGAATCGTGATGTGTTACAAGCACATCATATGATATGTAATACGTCAGATTACGTCGTACGTCAAGAGGCGCGGCAATTTTCAAAAAAAGGTCATTAAGGTTTTTTTCTTTAGCATAAAAGCTTTTAAATTTATAACGGAGGTGTATTTTCACCTGCTCTGCAAGTTTACTTAGGGTTCGGGAAGAAGGTTTGAATGTCGATTTTGATTTTACATATAGATGATTGATTTTATGTCTTTACCGATCAAAAATTACACCTAGCTAGTGACTTAAAAATTTTTTTATGATTTTTGTTGCGCCACAATCAGTTGGCTTCGCCAATCGCCACAAACCTGGCACACAAAAAATAAATGCGGCAAACGGCATATGTGACTGTAAGGTAGTTACCCTCAAGAAAAAGGAAATGTAAATTTAAATAGGTTAATTTTTTTTTTCGGTCTGAGCAATCCGACCTAGAAATGAACAGGGCTAATATGTACTTTAATAACAGTATAGAATTTTATTATTTCTTATTATAATCGACTATATATAATTAATTCTATATCTAATATGATATAGGAATACTTTGAGGAAAATTGAATAAATTATTAGGATCATATTCATTTTTTATTTCCACCAATTTTCCAAAAATGTTACCGTAATAACGTGATTGCCAATTATCTAATGATCTATCAATGAAACCTTGATAACTAGAAGTAGAATTAATTTTATATTGAAAACGTCTTCCGAAATTATCCATTTCATCAATACATTGAGGACTTAGTGCTTCATAACTTTCCATTTGCATACGTATACAATAAAGTGCATTACGATGTACAAATGAAGTATTATGTCTATCTATATTTATTTTCCCACCATATAAATCGAATGTAGTCAAAACTTCGCAAGAAGCTCTATTCGAAAAATCTACCAAATCATTTATAGCTGCCTGATTTAATCCTTCACCTTGATTAACATAAAAAGATTTTAATTTAAAGAAAATTGGATGATGCGATGGATGATACATGTCATATTCAGATACATCAGCAACTGCTATAATAGCTTCAAGAAATGTTAGTTGATTATATTCTGATGAAATCCGTTCTGGTGCTTTAGATAAGAAATCTTTCATTGCATTTTTTGCTTCTGTACGTGGACCTAAATATAATACAGTAGCTATTAATGATGTTTTAAATAACCTCAGTTTAAGACCAATTTTATTGTCAATTAATGGGCCAACTTCATTCAAAGCAAAAATAAGTTGATGCACTTGAGCCAAATTTGTACGATTAAATGCAAATCTCATATATGTAGCTTGTGGTGGTGCTGGATGAATATGAAAGACATAAGACGTTACTATGCCGTAACTTCCTCCACCTGCTCCTCTTAGAGCAAAGAATAGTTTGGGATGTGAAGTAGAATCAATGTGTAAAAGCTCTCCTTTGGCGTTAACCATTTCCATAGAAATAACATTATCACAAGTTATACCATAAGTACGACTGCAATATCCAATCCCCTATGAAAAAGAAGTATTTAAAATATATTTTTAAAAATTATTAAAAAGCATGATGATAATACGTTACCCCTACGAGAGCGTGACCTCCAATGCCAACAGAAGGACAAGTTCCGGCCGGAATTAAGAAACCGGCTTCACTCAATTTAACATAAATGTTACCCAACCTGTTTCCCGCACCAATTTTAGCAGTTTTCGGTTCTGAATTTGAATTAATTGTAATGTCATTGATTAATGTCACATCCAACACAATAACGTTATCTCTACCGCCTAAGCTATACTTTTCGTATGAATGACCACCTGAACGTGGAACTATATCCGTTTTCCATTTAACAGCACACTTAACAGCATTTTTTACATCTTCATTATTAACCGCGTAAACTAACACTGATGGTGTATAATTTACACGAATGTTATCATCAATAATTAATGATTGGAATCGTGAATCACTTGGATAAATTACTGGGCCTTCTATTGAACGAAGACAAATATGATACGGTGGTAAAATAGGTGAAATAAGGCTGGAGTTTACATTTTCTATAAAATTAAATGATAAAATGCACCATAAAAGAAGTAAAACTATGTCAAGTTGCTTTATTAATTTCATTTTGAATATTGTTTTGGCTGTAAAGGTAAAGTTACTTAAGAATTTGAAGATGTTACAACAAGGTTTATGTATATAATATATATGGGGCTTCGTCAATAGAAATATGGCATGTGGACATACATGTGAGGCTTCGTCAATAGAATCATAGCACTTCGTAAATCGTAAATAGTTAATAGAATCATGGCAATTGTTTGAAAAAATATAAACAAAAAATTGAAATTTTTTGCCAGATGCCAAGTTTCTATTGACGAAGCCTCCTAAGCCCCATATATGTTTAGGTTTTAATAAAAATCTTCTCATATATTAATGCTTGCATCTACAAGCTCAAAAATTCTACGATTTGTGTGGCATGTTTGAACGGTTATTTTTATGGGAATTGCTAAACATCGCCTGAGTGATTGTCGTTTGGGTGATTATCGCTTGGACTTGGGGTCTTTGATCACGTGGAAGATTTAATATTTTTGATTGGCCATATGATCGCGTCATATTTATTTGTTTATCGAATCTCGTTTTCAGTATAGGTTCGTTTCCTCTAACTTACATTCTTACACTTTGTTTCTTACTAACTCTATTCATTATATTTAGGTCCTTTAGTGCTCAATTAAGGTTCATGTTGTTTTTCACTTTACGTTTCGTTTCTTACTCATATTTTTTTATTTATTTATTTATTTTGTTTCTGTTTCATATTTCGGTTTTCACTAATTTTATTTCGTTTTAGATCTTTTAGTTCTTTCGGTTCTACAATTAATAAAGGTTGATTTTTATTTTATTTATTTTTTTTATTTTGTTTCTATCTTATATTTCGTTTCTTACTAACTTCATTTTTTTTTTTTACTTTATGGTTTTATTTTTTACTTTGATCTCATTATTCCATCCTTTTCGTCTCCTATCATTTTCTATTACATCTTTTCATTTTCCATTATCGCTTTTTCTCTCCTATTTACTTCTCATCATTTCTTTTCGTCTCTTATCACTCTTCTTCATCTTCCCATCACTTCTTTTCGTCTCCCATCACTCCTTTCGTCTCCCATCACTTCTTTTCACCTTCCATCACCCTTTTTGTCTCTCATCACTCCTTTTCATCTCCCATCACTTCTTTTTGTTTCCCATCAATTCCCATTACTCTTTTTTATTTCCTTTCATCTTCTATTACTTTCCATACTCCATTGTTATTTCATTTTTTTTCAACAAATAAAGAACAGAAGAAATTTTTTGATTAGAAAATTCACGAAAGTTCATTATATTTATTATTTAGATTTAGAAATTAGGAATAAATGTAATAAATGTTACAAACAATAAACTCATAATACATGCAATCACATTATAAGACGTGTGACCCAATATACATAATGTACAAACGTGATAAACGTAATACGCGTTATAAAATAAATATTCTTAATTTACTTTCTTTTTTATTTATTGTTATTATTTCTTTTATTTGTATCACTTCATTAAAAATAAATACGGTGATTTTTTTCTTTAAAATCGTAAATGTGTGACTTAAATTTTAATATTTGAAATAAAATTTCATTAGATAAGATTATTTTGAATAAATATGCAAAAAAGTTTTTGTTAAATAAGTTTAGCCGATCAGCCGTCAGCCGATTAATAAATTTACTCTTTATATATTGTACATCATGTGACATATTCGACGACAAGCGATGATCGCCCAGGCGACGTTTTAGCAATTTCCAAAGTACAAATATATCAGTTATTGATGCTTCTGGTAATAATGATGTTGAGAATATATCACCAGAAGAATTAGAGCCTCAAATTTGAAAGTTTCAAAATAGTATGAAATATGTAATTATTGTCAAAGTACTTTTGGATAGATCAAAAGCATGTAAGAAAGTGATGGATGATTTTGATAATGCACAAAAGAAACAAGTCAGATATTAGTCATATATAAAGACACATAATAGTTTTACGACAATTGTAAAAAAATAATAAGGTTTTAATATATATAATGAGCTAATTTATGAACAATAAAAAAAGTTTTCAATTAGCAAAATGAAACGTGAAAAAAATTATAATCAAGCGTGAAAATCGAAAAAAAAATTACCGGCCACAATGAACTTGTTTCAGTTAATTTATTCCAAAATTTCAACTTTACTGACAGTAAAAAAAATGATCAGCCAATTATTTTTGCTGCGCGGCGGAGAAATTTGAGGTCTCCGTACTAGTTAGCAAAAACTCCTGTTGTGTCCTCGGGAAATTGACATAAATTGATTAAGCTTTTTTTCATATACGATAACATTGCGCCCTCGGGAATTAAAATTGACTTACAGAAACATGTGATATCGACTAAGCTTTTTCCCTAAAAAAAAGTCAAATAATGACGCGCCTTTAACACTGGAAAAATTGTTTAAATAGTGGGAAAATTGGTTAGACGTAAAATTTGGGGTACAAGAAAATTTTTGGGCTCATTTTTGACTGCAAACTAATAATTTGGGACTTAATATAAATTTGGTGACCAAAATACTACAAATAATGGCGCATTCTCAATATGGAAAAATTGGTTAGTGAGAAAATTAGTTAGATATATATGAATTTGGGCTGCGATATTTCATAAATCTGCCGTGATGTGATATCTTAAAAATTTTTGTAATAAATGAATATTTAAATCACGTTTCACACAGAAAGCAATGAATACCGAAAAGTTTATATAAGTCAGGTATATAAATACATAATGCAGTGATTTACTTCCGGTAAGTGTTATATTTATTGATAAAAAAAAATTAGATAAAAAAATAATTTGTTTTTTTAAAATAAAATAACATAATCATTTAACAAATAGGAAAAAAATTTTATATGTCATATTCCTTACAAAATTTAATACCAGGTTCATAATTATTATAAGCAGCTAATTTCAAATAATATTTAGCTTTTTCTATATCTTTCGTACAACCAATACCATTGTAATACATATTTCCAGCGTTATACATTGCTACTTTAAAACCATCTTCAGCAGCTTTTTCAAAATATTTAAGAGCTTCTGAAAAATTTTGATCAACACCAAAGCCATGATACAAACAATCTCCACATCTTACTTTTGCTTCAGGGAATTCATTTGCTTCATCATTAGCAACTTCCTTAAATAATTCAGCAATAATTTTATCTTTATTTGGAGGGCTCGGAACCAATCCTCTCGAAATGTAATATGCTTTATAATATTTTGCTATGATTTGACTACGGTTTGCTGTACCTCCTGTATTACCAAGGTTTGCATAAGCTTCAAAACATTTATATGCAGTTTTTACATCTCCAACTAGTTTATAATGTTTATTATACAACTTATGTTGTTTTGCTGCATCAGTGAGTGTCATATATTTAAATGATTTAAGATCTGGAAGGGCGTATGCATCAATGTTCTCTGCTCGTTTTGGACGAGACTTTTGCATAGAGTTGTTTCTGCTGTTTCCTCTTAGGTTTGGGCCACTAGAGCTTGATGTAACTTGTGAATATTCCTTGAGACAATTATTAAGGACTTCAAATATTTTCGTGATTTTTGGCCTAAAATCTGGATCATGATGAACGGCTAAAAAAATATGTAAAAAAAAGAAACCAATTAAGTACAACAAATAAAATTGTAATTTAAAATATTTTCTTTTACATACCTTCAATTTCTAATCGTTTGAATTCTTCTGGCATTTGACTATTTTCAGAAAATGGTTCTCTATACGTTTTATTATATACCT